TTTCATTGTATATTTACTCCTTTTCTTCGAATTTAAATTTTTTATTAGTATAATAATGATGTATCTTATGTAAGAAAAACACATTATACGTGATTAATGCGAAAAAATATATAATATAAATATATTTTAATATAATTAATATAATATATATAGATATATATTCTATAAAATAATTCAACTAAATTTATTTTTATATAACTACATATTTTTATATACGTATAGTATCTTTAAATGTTCAAACATAATAAAATAAATAATAAAGTGAATAAAATTATATATATCCTGAAAATACATCTGCCATATAAAGCAGAGCAGAAAATATCGCAACAGAGATGAAAGTACTAAATACGACAAATGCGGATCGACTTCATTTTCAATTATACGAACATTACTGCTCATTAGTGTTGCAATGAACTTAATTAAACGTACAAATAGGACTCTAAATTGATCGTTTTCAGGTGCTTCGACATCCCATGTGCCATTATCTATGGCTGCAAATATATAACGCAAATTAGAAGCGCATAGAACTGAAAGCCTTTACTAGAATTTAACGCAAATGACCTAAATGTTATTGTTTAATCACATTATCAGTAATAAATTAGCTAAACACAGAGACAATTTACTTAACCTCCAAATGACGTGTTATAATTTAATATTCAAATGTGATATCGATATATATGATCTTGACGTAAAATACATATATGTATAACGGACAGCAAATATAAATATTGTTAGAGAAAATACATTTTCCAGCAGCAAACTGATTTTAAAAATATAAGAGAATTGATTTAATCTGATTTCTCTGCGAATTGCATGAAATTATAATTATATTGTAATAAAATAATTAATATTGTTTAAATTAATAGAATCTTAAATCACACTAGCATCGATTATTATTATATAAATTGATGGTATAACAATTAATTATTTCACTAGTCGCATTAATCTCATACTTTTTTTATCAGCAAGTTTCTTTAACAATATTTAATAATTTTGTTATAGATTTTATTATTTATTTTATTTCAAAAGGTTGGGTTATTAGAATATTGCTCTATCTCGAAAAGTTGAATTTAAGTAGAAATTAATGTTTTTTAATCTAATTGAAAGATTCAAAAGACAAGAAGGTGCAACTCTCTTAACAGGATCCTCGACTTGTAGCAGCGGCTCGCTGTCTGATCTTATTAGAGAAATTTAACGCAGTAATATGCGAAAGGTAAATAAATAGATAAATACAGCCAACGCACTTTGAGATGCCGCAAAGCCGGCTGGCGAGATCAAGAAGCAATTTCCCGACCCGTCAGAAAGTCTTCAGCGTGAACGAATACTTTATGAAAGACAGCAGCGCAAATATAAAGAAGTACAATTTTTACGCGACCAGCAGAGCCTTTGGCACGAGTTGTACGGTGTATAATTACCAATTAATCGCGTGAGCGCTTATAAAGCGCGCACGTTCGTGAGATGTGAAATAATTGCTCATAAAAACTTGATATGATATGACAGATCGAATCTGATAGAGACTATGCTTGAAAGAAAAGAAAAGAGAGAAAGAAAAGAGAAAGAAAGGAAGGGTTGGAGAAGGAAACAGATCTAGAGGGAGATTTAATTTCTTTCGTAAAAAGCGAGATAGTCGTGCAGTTCTTTGAAAACGCGGACGAGAAAAACATTTAATGTTTCTCTGATTGCACTGCTAATAAGAGTGCCGCTCGAATTTGTCTAAGCATCATTGATAAAGCATTAAAAGTCATAATGTATTATATATAAAACATATATCAGAGATAAAATAAATGAATTAAATATTTTTACATTGATATTAATTTTTTTTCTATTTTTACTTCATATAAATTTTCACACAGATACAAGAAATTATTTAATCTTAAAAAAAATTATTTAATCTTTTATAAAAGATATACATATTATGATACAGATATTTATAAAAATTCATAAATTACAATTTTTATTATTTTATTATTATATATCATTAATATTTTTCACTTATTTTTCGTTTTGACGTGAATAATGTTCACTTTTTTATGTATAAGCAGTAAACGTGTCAATGCTTAAGAAAATTTGAAAAGGTTTTTGAATATTGAAACTTGTATTATCTATTTTAATTATCAATAATATTCTGTTACAAATCTAAATTTAAGAAAGTTTCTAATTTTATTGTATTGACATTCAAGAATGGACATGACGTTTGCGTATGGGGAAAATGCAATCTTTCTTTTTTAATATTTTTTGGTTAAACAGCTGATAAGAGATTTTTCGACCCTCGCATCAAGAGGAATTTCGGTATCTACGTCCGTGGCAAAGCTTTCGCTTACGTAGCGGAATTTCTGAGAGAATCGAGCAAAAGAGTATTCGCAAGAATGCTCCGAAATGAAAAATTCTGATACGTTGCACGCGATATTCATCCTAACTGTTTTAATAATAATGGGTAAAATGGAGATTATACTAATGTATAATATTGTACAAAAGCTCATATGTAAGACAAATTGAAACTGATATTCAAGAATGCGTAAAAAATTCTTATAAGAAATAAATAAGATATATAATTCTTTTTAGAAAGAATTTTCTTCTGATAATAATTATTTTAATAATATACAACTTAATTCACATGATTAATATGTTTTCGTTTAATCTAATCGAATATAATAAAATTTTTAAAATTGCAATGCATAAAAATTCAACATCTAAATTCAATATTCAAATATTTAATAAAAATGCAAACAAATAAAATTGATTTTTCTACAAGAATCTTTCGATCAAAGTACCTGTGCTTCCATTAGGCTCACATATTTTCATACGTCTACCACACTGCACGTCTCGCGCGAGATTGATCATGTCGCATCTCGGTCTCGGCTGGGTTCAGCTTCATTCTTAACTTTGAAGTTAGGTTTGGATATAAGTTGGCGACACCGCATGCGTATAGAGTATTGCGGTCGGTGTGGATCAGTCTTGTGCGAGATGTGCAACGTGGTAGATACATGCATGGCGACGAGCGAGTCTAATGGAAACGCAGGTATTTTTATATATATTTGTATGTATATATTGCAATATTTTTTTTATTTATGCATTGAATTTTTAATATTTTATTATCAAATAATATTTTACTTCATGCACGTATTAATATTTGATTAAATTACACGAAATGAGAAAGATATAAACAAGAGGCATTTGTAAAGTTCGTACTTTTGTTTATAAGCAAAAAATGAAATCATTGAAACTGTACACATTTGTTAGTCTTTCTATATATAATCCTGCAAAATTATACATTTTTTGCAGGGATGCAATATCTATCGGATTTTAACAGTTGATTAATTTATTAAATTAATTTATATCCAATTAATTTTAATAATATTTTAAAAACTATGTGTTGATTTTTACAATAAATTGTATCCGACAAATCTTGCATTGTTGGGAGAAATGTGACTCTGCAGGATTCATATGTAGAAAAGAACTAATGAATATGCACAGTTTATATCACTTTATTCTTTTTCTTATATAAGCAAAGATGCAAAAGATATGAAAAAAGGTATAAACACTCTACGTATATGTCCGAAGAATATTCTTCTAATTACAAGATTTTATTCTAGATGAAAGAAGATGCATTTATATATGCATTTATGTATAGGCTGTTTAATGACTGAGATTTTTTTGTAATTATAAGTTCATAAAAAAGGCTTATATCTTTTTAGGCGATAATTGTAATTATTGAATAAATAATCATTACATCTTTTATACCAAATAACATATTTTTATTAGTAATTGCATTTTAAATTCGACATAAGAAAATTCGACAAAATTGTGCCTTGTTAGAATAAATAATTTTATAAGTTCTCTTAAAAAATTTATTTTGCCGACAACAAAGAAAGTACATAAAAAAATATCTAAAATGTATACTTACAATTAGAATGTTTTAAAGTAAGAATAATGTTTAATAATAGCTCAATATGCTTAAAGAAGAAAAATTCTTTAGTTTATATTAAATAATTTGATATTATAAACAATTTTATAAATAAACTTGTTCTGAAATTTATGCTGCAAAAATGTGATTTTAAGTTTCGAAAAAAGTTGGCGGTTGCAGGAAAATTCGATAGAGATATGTCAATAATTCTCCATGTTATTTCTGTCTTATTAGAAATATTATGCGTGCCAACCATTCTATAACGTCGTTCCTGGCATTACAGTCGCGTCTTAACACCTTTTGATGGAAAATCGATCATTGCAGAAATAAAGGCTGTCACCGCGACTATATGAATAAGACAGATCTTGCAACCCGACCTCACTATCCTTTTTAAAATACACGTAATAAAACCAAAAATCACTTATACAAACTCATATTGGATGATCGCGTGACTCATCGTTCTGTCGAAAAACGACAGGATCATATCCATACCACAAGTTCCAGGATCACATAAAATTCAACATAAATTTTTAGCAAGATTAAGAATGCAAGGAAAAGAGACATAAATTTAAAAATATTTTAAAAGAAATATGAGTTAGAGATCGTACTAAAAATCACATATTTGTGAGATTTTTATCTATATTTTATTTATTAGATTGAATAACTTTTAATAAATTCCTTAAAAATGCATCTAATTCAAGTTAATAAAAAAATTAAGGAAGGATACTTATAGAAAGAGCAGTTTTTAAATTAATTTGCATAAGTTTTTAATAAAAATTTTAATTTTATCATTTAACAAAGAACATTAATTTTAATAATTACATGTAATGATTATAATTTATATTGTGTCGAGCTTATTTTTATTTGTTATAGCTTATCCATCTATGTTTTAGAACTTGTTTAGTAAAAGTTGTTCTTAAACTTTGCTTTAATTAATTTAAAGCCAAATCATCAATGAATTAAATTTTCCATAATGTGTATTAAATAACATAAATGTTTTATTAATTTTATTTTATTATAAATTATATTTTTATAAATAAATTACATATTACTACAAAAGTTTCAATTCATCATTTTCATTGAAAACATGGCTTTATCTTATTGTTAGTTAAATTAAATATATATTAAAATCAACGTTCAAGAAACGATCGTAAAATCGCACGATCGTCAATGTAAAATATTTACGCTCCTCTGCCGGCGACGATAATTAGCCGACACAATAAAAGAAATTTCTCTTCTTTAATCTAAAAAAAAATGCACGTATTTAATAAATTTTCAACGTAAATGAGCATACGCAAAATGCGTTTATTCGTTGACAATAATAAGTATTCGCAATAGAAGGAGGGTTCATCTCCTTTTTTATATTTGGCTGGAGTCAAAGTGTGGCCAGAAGGTAAGTCCAATTGGCCTTAAAAATGACACAAGGACACATAAAAGCGGTCAAAATGTGTAACAAGCGAGATACATAAAGTATCTTTGAAAGTACGGAAATATTTTGCGTATTTTATGTTTTACTTACGTGCAATATAGCAGGAATGTCGATGTATTCGATTAGTGTTCATCTCATTTTCTAATCTTTGGCTGGAGCCAAGTGTGGCCAGAAGATAGGTCCAATTGGTCTTAAAAATGAGACAAGGACACATAAAATAGACGATCAAAATATGTAGCAAAAGGTACGTATAAAGTAACTTTGAAAGCGTACGGAAATATTTCGCGTATTTTATGTTTTACTTACGTGCAATTGCAGAAATGTCGATGTATTTAATTAGGGTAAACGAGTAGAGCACGCGAATAAAGCATACGTGTAAAGCACGCGAATAGAATACACGAGTAAGGTACGCACCCCAAATCTCGTATAATTGCGGATTCCCCTGCGGCTTAATCAGCCAAGTAGAGTTGTTAGGACTATTAGAGAAACATCAGTTCTTAATACTCCATAATAATTCTAAAGGAACCAAGTTAGAATATTAATAAAACTAGAAATAAGCTTAAAATATAGATAATATTAAATTTAAATTTATTTAACAAAATTGTTTTATATTTAAATTATTTATATAATTATATAAAATTACATGTTGTAAAAAACTGTGAAGTCACCAGATGATAATTAAAAAATGGTAGTGATTTAATCAACCAACTCTGGCAAATTAAGTGATCTTTATTCAATATTCATTACTTTTTATTTTTTTAATTTTCTAATAATTGTCATTATTATATATTACAGCACTTGATAAGGGCCGAAACCCATGGCCGAAACGTCGTGAATATTGAATAAAGATCACTTAATTTGCCAGAGTTGGTTGATTAAATTACTACCATTTTGTAAAATTACATGTGTCGTCAAATCTTTTCATAACCATGTATATTTACGCGTCTGACCATATAATATCATTTTTTCTCAGATATATATTCACACGCATACATACCCGAAGTATATCATGTAGCGAGTTAGCTCCTTGTATCGCTATCTACATCGAAGTTGTCAGTAGTTGTAAACGGGCTTTGGATTTACACCGAAGCGGATACATTACGAACGAATACGTTAATCGAATTTCGTGGTCTCGGGATAGTTAACGAGGTTGCGGCGCGAGACGTGTTCCGCGATAATACGAAATTGCAAGTTCCGTTCCAACTCATCACCGTTTAACAAGTTACTTGTTAACAATCGCGATATTATTTTTCGCATTACAAATTATTAATTATATCAATCGAGTACATCATAACGTTAATTTTCGTCTTGTCTCCTATAATCCTAGTAGCTATACCTTTGATAAACTGACGCCACGATTACGCAAACTTTAATCGAATCTTCTCGATATACAAACGAGCTGGCATAATAGCGGCGTTACTTATGAGAGAATAAACCGATAACGCAACCCCGAGTCATCCGCCGGAACAGGCTACAAAACTGGTAGATATCCCGATAATAATTTCATTCAGCTTTGCGCGTGCGTCGTGCATCCGCACGTGCACCAGGATAATGCATGATAATCGGGCATTAAGGAGCGAATTATACGGCGCTTAACGTGCATCTCGGAGTTTCGCAAACAACCGGGTTTTTACTCACTTGCGTTGTGTACGCTCCGCCAATTAAGGACACGGCCGCGATTAGAGCGAACGGGGCAAGTCCCCTTTAAGGCTTCGGCCGTTAAGACGGCGCTCTTGAAATGAAATTTGCATAGCTTCTCGAGAGAAGAAGAGAGCTTTCTTCGGCTCTCTCACGCGCGCCTTTTCACCGACGCGACGCGCCAAGTTACCCTGGCGAGAACGGAGACACGGGCTGTCCAAGTTTCACCATTTGTTTCTTAGAAACGACGCTGCAAAGAATTAATGAAGATTAGGGATAAGCGCCCAAGAGTTGTGACAAAATTACGAAAAGATTGCCCGACTATTATGGATTATTTTGCCGAGCGTTTTCCGTTTTATCTCTCTTTTCATTTTATTATTTTCAAAATGCAATTCTAGATTAATTGCAATCGTCATATAGTTAAAACTATGAGTAATTTATTGTAAAATTTTATTAACCTTTAATTTTAATTGTATATCTGCTGAAGAAGGTTGGAAAAGACAACCGAAACGTTCGAACGAATTTATTTTTGTCTGTTATTTAATATGTTATACATCCTTTCACAAATAAATTACTAATTGATAGAATTTAATTAGCTCTTATTGCCTTTTAATTGTTGATTAATTTATTAAAGAGCTTTTACAAATTATATTAAAACTATAAGAGTCTGCTTTAGACGATCTATACAATTTGCGATAGATTTCAAAAGAAAAATAAATATTTATAATGTTATGTGCCGCGTATTTTAATTTATGATTCCTGACATATTCTTCAATTCTTTAAATCCTTTTTTATATTGGACAAAACAAAATCTTTGTTCTAAATTTCTGAATATACAAGTAATTCATTCTGTCAATTTCGCAAATTAACGTTTACAAAATTTTACATTACATTTTCGCTGATAAAAAAAATATCGGATGAGAAAATATTGAAATTTAATAAGGAAAACAATTAGATATTTAAAGACAAGGCTCGTGTGATATTATAAAATTAAGATTTAGAAAGACAGGGCCAACTATAACGAGCATATTAAATTAGTGAGAGATGTAATGTCAACACATAATTGATTTATTTCTTAGTAGATACAATGATAATAAAATTAATAAAATGTTTCGGCTGTTACCTCAGCCTTCTTCAGTAAATATAAAAACAATAAAAATTCTTTTAAGAAAAATTATGACATATTACGCATTAGAGTCTATTTTTTAATGAACATTTTGGTTTAATAAGTCGATGAATTTAAATTGGGTTACGCTTATAACATTTATTAAATTAGATATTTTTTCTAATCGGCTAACCATTTTTTAGTTAAGATGGTAAACTTTTTGATTATGTCAAAAAACGTGTAAACGAGTTCCCTGTTGTTAGTAGAACAGGTTGACGGTCCATTCCACGTCATCAATTCTTTTGAACATTATTAGTTAAAATTATCGTCAGAACCGCTTGATATGAGAATTGAAAACAATTAGATGTTATCCAGCATCAAAAAGTTAGTCCCCATCATCAAGGATATTTCCGAGTAAGTTCGTCATTGCAGTATATTTCACCGTGATTGTCTAAGTATATTTTATTTTTTCGGTATATTAATTTATATTAATAAGTTATTTTTTATGTGAAAGATCTTAATTGTGATTAGAATTGCTTACTTAAATTGATGAGTAGTCAAGATTCCGCCAAGTTGATGTGTTCACTATACAAAGTCACAGTATGATGTGTCGAGTTCAAACTGTGACTCCTATTATTATTATTATTTATTTATTAGATAATTCTTCTAGAATGTCAAAATATGACTCGTCAAGCATATCGGTATCTTTTTTAGGTTTAGACCGTTTTTTTGTTCCTTTATATGGATCATTTCAGAAACATTTCTCTTCTGGAAATTAGATTCGGAATCTAAAATTTTTATGTCTTCCCAATTAAATGAGTGTTGGTAATTAAGAATATGTTAAAATATTGAAACATATGAGAGGCGATAAAATGACATTTACCGCATAACAACTTCTGTCGTGTAAGGGATTGCGTAAAGGAAGCAATTGGTTATGAATGGTGCTAGGTTGATGAGAAGAGCATTAGAGCGCAATGGTTAACCAGGCACGCATATGGCACATCATGGTAATCTTCGACTTAAGCCGCGGCTCAGCCCGATTGGCAATTGCGTTGGCTGGTGAAGCAAGAGGGCTGCTTCCCTCATAAGCTCGTAATCCGAACGGTTGAATTGATCGAAATTCGACGATGGATGGAATTTTATTATCAAAGAAAAACGTAAAATTCGATGAGAGACAATTTTTCTCTCTCTCTCTCTCTTTCTCGATGAAAAATGTGAATGTAAACGAGCGATAACTTAAAAGGCTCGATCTTAACTAAAACTCGCAGGGATTCGGAAAAGAAGCGCTTTCAATGTCGCGGAAATCATGCATAATAAGAAGAGAAGCGAGAGGTTCGTACCCCTGATAGGGAACGATTGTATTATTACTCTCGCAATAATTTCGAAGAGCCGTGTCACTTATCTGTCGATAGAGAATCGTTAGATCGCGAGAGGTCGATCACTTCACCATCGTCGTCCGTGAGCCGCGGAGATTAAAGCACGACGGTCGACAGCTTAATTGATGTTGACCGACAACAAACAACTCGATATTACTCCCGACATCGCCTCCGCGCACGCCATTGATCGATCTCGATGTCTTTGAGTTCACAGAGTTGACGTGAAGCTCCTTGTTTGTGTAGAGATAATGACTTACCAAACGGCAGTATAATCGATTGGGTCGCGCTCGTCACATATCGTGTTGAATTTAATAGATACAGCGATACCGGAATATATTTCGTCACTGACTACGAATGATAGACATTAATAATGAATGCATATTAATAATGAATAGTGATTCAATTTGTGCATTTAACAAGGACATTAATTATTTAATCTTAATTTCTTGAAAAAAATTTTCTACAAAGAAACACAGGCCGAGCGAAAAATATTCAAAATATAAATTACAAAAATAAATTGTTAAATTCTAAAATATTATTAATTTAAAAAATTATTTAATTAATATATTACATTATATGAGTACAAAAATAAAATCTTTCAAACATTTTGTCATAATTTATTTCATTATCATTTATTATCATTATTGTGACAATTGTGATATCACTATTTATTGCGATCCATGTCTGAAAAAATTCGCGAACGTTTTTCCAAAAGCAGCTTACGGAATTCAATTTTTTCTTCTCAAATAAATAGAGATATACGGGAAAAAGGATTAACGCAGAAACGTTTCATGCATTTCGTATAATCGTTTCATGTTTCCTCGGAGCGCAACACTGCTCAGAGTCGTTGCGTGCGCGGATAAGTTCTATCAGTCTATAGATTGAACGAATTCGTAAAAACCGATTCATTCGCAAACGATTTCGAGATACGCCGGTCACATAGCGCTCGTAAAACCACGCGCGACAACAGCGGGAACACAACCCGACGTTTTCTCCCTGTTATCACGGTTCTTTCCCCTCATCGCGTCCTCGATGCTGGAAACAGTTGTAAAACCTGCCGTTTGCCAGGCGGACGCGAAACACATTCTACCGGATCCACTTTAAAATACTCCACGAGCGAGCGACGCGAGTTTTCCCCTTCCGTCCAGGGGTTTTCGAACCACATCGGGGGATGACCCGTGAAAACGTCGCGTCGGAAAATTGAGAACTTTTTTTACCGCCGTTCCTCCCGGCACTCGCGCGTGTTATCAGCTAATCATGTTGACAGCGTCGACCGTAAAAAAGTTTAGCGCGAATCATCTGGCAGTGACGCGCCACGCGCGCAGTCTCGTATATCGTTGCATCGATTCTTCAAAAAGCAAAGCGAATAGTGTCATTGAAGTGTTTGACAGTGCAAAAACGACGTCAGCTCTGTGTCGTTCAGCTTTTTGCCGGAAATGACTTCTTCAATGTATATCGCCGAGAGGATCGAAAGTATATTTCGATAAATAAATATACCTGCTTTCTTCAAGATCGCGAACTGGTTTCTCATGGAAAAATAGCCGATTAGTTACGCATCTCAATCAGAAAATCGAGGAGAAAGATATAAACTCGTTTCTTATAATTTTTTATGCTTGATATGATTTAGACATCACAAACCGATTTGTGATCCTTAATGACTTAATTTAATCACAAAAAGTTTTTTCAAGAGTAAGAAATTATAATATATTATATATTAATTTTAAATAGGAGAAAACTTTTCCAATACTTTATGTATCATAGCTGTAGCATATTAAATTACATTAAAATATTCTTTCCTTATAAATTGAATCTCAAATTTGTTAAGAAGAACACTAAAGATCCTATTGCACCAACGTTATTTTGGCTTTAAGCGGAACTTAAATATATGTGTCTCTTTATCTTTTTTATTAATAAATGAAGACAAACGCATATTTAAGTCTTCCTTAAAACCAAAATGACGTTGGTGCAATCAGGTCTTAAAAAATAAAAATGGCTTATTAAGTTAAACAAATTGAGAGGAATAATCATGATTTTTGGAAAAAAATGTTATTCAAAATTTAAAAAATAATCAGCACAATTGCTACAAATGTAAGTTATTTTAACTGTTCGCGTTTTCTTTGATGAAAAATGATTTTTTGATATTTTCCATTTTCTTGATTCACACGCATACACACAAATATAGTTTTCTCAAATCTCTTAAAAAGAGATATTATGCGGTGAAAAGTTTAAGCGTACTGGCAAGTCGCTCGGGAACTTTTATACGCATGAACTTTCGAATACGCCTCTCGAATTACTTCGCAGGAAGTGCAGGCACTGTATATGGATTTAATCTATTTCCGCGGCTTCTCCAACGTGTAAGCGGAAACTGGAAGAATTTTCATGCGCGTCCACGATCCGAATCCGATTGCCTAAGCATTGAGCTGTGCTATACAGATACTTTTATTTGTGCCTCAGCCGGATTTTTTGAGCTTATGCGAAATAGCTCGGGCACATCTTGCCAAAACATTTTATATGCATGTATATTCTATAATATCGTGCACACATATATATATCTTACACTGAATCAAAACTTTTGATACAGTATAATGAGAAAAGTTGGTTTAAAGTTTCAGATTTAAGAAAGGAGACAAATATACATCAAAAATGATAATTCAAAAAGACAGATCATGTATTTTCGATTAATTCTTATTCTCATAAATCTGTACAGAAATAGAACACTTGAAATATTTTATAATAAAATTAAATTTAAATGAATTTTATAATTAAATT